TAACATATTTGTGAGATGTGGAAACGAATATTGATAAATATATTCAATATTTCGATCACGTAGCGAAAGCGAAAGATTGGGATGATAATAAAAAACTTTCTATGTTACCCTTATGCTTACAGGATAATGCACTTAAAATATTTGAATTTATACAATATCGATCGACAAATTTAACTTGGGAAAATGTTAATAAGAAAAAATTTAATAAAGATGAAAATGACTAATAATGAATCTATTAAAAAATTTTTGGTAAGAGTAGTAGCTGAATGTCGTAGATTTATAGGTATCATGTCGGAAAAACATATCATAGAGTATTTTTAAGGGACTACCAGATGAAATAATTAATAAATTTATGTCTTTGGATAATAGCGCAATAGATAAATTAATAGAAAATATTTGAAGAATTGAAAAAAATACATATTTCACATTTGCATGTGATAGGTGAAACTATTTTAGAGGTAAGGTTCAAAAGCCATATATTTTTAATAGACTTTACTATAATCGATAATTTATCTTAAGATAATTTATTGGAATATAATTTTTAAAAAAAACGGTAGCACAGTGGGGTCGAGGCACAGTGTGGACGAGGCATAGATGGGACAAGTATAGATGATATCTGACAGTGATTAAAATCACTATCATAAGAAACGCTTCGATGTAAATCTGTAGATAGTGTTTAATTTTAAGAAATTGGTGAAATATTTTAAAAGCAACATGAACTCTTATTTCTTTAATTATATCCTGATTAGNCTTATTCCCTTAATTTTATCCCGATTTATAATTATAATATATGAATATACAATAATTATAGTAATAAAATTTGGTATGAAATTAAAATATGAAATTTAATTTTAATTTGAAATTTAGTATGATATTCAATAATTTAGTACTACAATTTATAAAGAGAAATAATAAAAATAACAAAGTAGTTGTATATTCCTTTACTTTTAACGTGTATAAAAATTTAAAAATAAGAAACGCTTCGATGCAAATCTGTAGATAGTGTTTCCTTTAGAGAAATTGGTGAAATATTTTAAAAGCAACATGAACTCTTATTTCTTTAATTATATCCTGATTAGTAGTTCTTTGATTTTAAAATATAATATATGAATAAATACTAATTATAGTTTTTAAATTTAGTATGAAATTGTGAGGCCAGCTATGATGTATGGTTAATAGTGTTGGGCGGTTGATAAGAAAGTAGAGCAGAGAATAAGTGTAGCAGAGATGAGAATGCTTAGTTGGATGAGTGGAGTGACTAGAGAAGATAGGATAAGGAACGAGCATATAAGAGGAAGTATAGGTGTTGCGTCAATCGTGGATAAGATGACAGAAAATAGACTTAGATTGTTTAGTCATGGTATGAGGAAAGAAGAATCGAAAGCTGTAAGAACAGTTATAGAAATGAATGTTGAAGGAAGAAGAGATAGAGGAAGACCAAAAAAGAGATGGAGGGATGCTATTGAATGCGATTTGAGGACAGCTGATGTGAGCGTAGAAGATGTGGGAGATCGTGTCAAGTGGAATCTTAGGATAAGGGTGCCCGACCCCAAGTAGTTGGGATTAAGGCAAAGAAAAAGAAAAATATTACCAGATATTCCGGTGGCAATTGACATAATATGATTGTTATTTCGGAATGTACAATTTAGCGTTTAGTTGGGTTTAAATAATATAGCGTCAAATCAATTACCTACTCTATCGGTTGTATCTCAATATACACTACACTTTAATGATACAATAAATAAATAAACTCACACATACACACATATGCATTTATAACATTGTGTCTAATGTAAGTATAACATGATAAAAAGTAACCGTAAAATGAAAAAAATGGAATATAAATTTTATTACTCATATTAAATGTAATGTAACTCGAAAAATATTTGTTTAAATGAAAAAATATAAGATTATATTTTTATTTATAATTGTCTTTTAAACAACTTTTGTGCGAAACTTTTTTTTGTAAGTTAAATATTTTTTTTTGAGAAAATTAAGAAAGCTCATATTTTTGAACTTTTGCGAGGATTTAAAAAAAAAGCTCAATTCCAATCTTGAGGACTATTAGTATGTCATTATACATATTTTAATTCAACTTTTAAAAAAACAAAATTTTTTCCGCAATTTTTCCTTTGTTGACTGGCCTAGATGTCAATTTTAAACTTGTAATTGAGCTAAAAGTTATGGTAATATATTCAATTTATTTTACTATAAACTTTCATAAATCTTTATCAAAAATTTTTCATCAACTTTAAAGAACCAAAAAAATAGGTTAAAATTGAAAATTTGGACTGATTATTTTTAACATATTAAAAATCAAATCAGTAATAATTTGAAAACAAATTTTTTTTTCTTTTAATTATTATTTTATATATATAATTAGTAATAATATAAAAAATTAGAAGTGATAGAAATAGTCTACTTGCAGATTTGAAAACAACGCGAAAAGTTGATTTAGAAAAGTATATTTTTGCTTCTGATGAAAGTTCCTTGTAGTCCAGTGCATTTTTTTATAGTAACAAACAGTTTTTATTGAAAATTATTGTATCAAGCCCTTTAAATTTTTATACACGTAAAAGTAAAGCAAAATATAACTTCTTTATTATTTTTATAATTTCTCCGTTTAAATTACAATATTAAATATCAATTTCATACTAAATTTAATAATTATAATTAGTATATATTCAAATATTATATTTTAAAATCAAAGAACTACTAATCATGATATAATTAAAGAAATAAGAGTTGATGTTGCTTTTGGAATAATCCACCAATTGCCTAATTAAAACAAAAAAAAAAAAAGTTTGTTGGGAATTTTTTCTGCTATTCTGCAAAATTACTCCTTCGTTGACTAGAATGAATCATTAAATAGAAAATTTTATGAGAATTAAAACAATGTTATTTTTAAGATTAATATGCAGTCAGAAAGTTTTATAATTATTATTTATTGTAAATTTATCAGAAAAACTCATTATTTTTTGCATTTTTATCGTAATAGAACACTTAAATAGAAATCATAGTAATCATTTCTAAGTAATTTTTGATATTTAAAAAGATTCTACTATTGAAATATCCAGAACTGAATTAATTTTAATGATTTACTTTAACTAAAAAAAAAAAAGTTAATATTTTGAATCCCTCTTGTGGGCAGGTAAAGGGTTAGATTTATAAAAAAAACCAAATGATAGATAAAGACATGCATCTAAATAAAAAAAAATATACTGATTTGGTCATTTTTGATAAAGTTATAACAATTAACAAAGTTATAAGTTTTATACACTGGACTACAAGGAACTTCCATCAGAAACAAAAATATACTATTCTAAATCAACTTTTCGCGATGTTTTAAAATGTGCAATTAGACTTTTTCTATAACTTCTAAGTTTTAATATTATTAAAAAATAGTTTTTACATATAAAAAAAAATAATTAAGAACAAAAAAAATTGTTTTAAATTAATACTGATTTGATATAATATTTAATATTAATTTGATTATTAATAAGTTAAAAATAAGGAAAATGACATATTTAACCAATTTTGTTAATCGTTTAAAGTTGATTGTTGTAAATGTTTATAAAAAAAAAAAAAAATTTATTTTACCATAACTTTTAGCTCAATTGGTAAGTTTGACATTGACATAATTAAATAGAAAATTTTATGACAATTAAAAAAATTGTATCGTTAAGATCAATATGCAGTCAGAAAGTTTTATAATTACTATTTATTGTAAATTTATCAGAAAAGCTCAATATTTTTTTGCATTTTTATGGTAATAGATAACTTAAATAGAAGTAATAGTAATAATTTCCTAGGAACTTTTGTTGTTTGTTGAAAAGATTCTATAATTGAAATATTGAGAACTTAATTAATTTTAATGATTTACTTTAACTAAATGTACCAATCAAAACAAAGTTGTTAAAAAGATTTACTCAATTGAGTTTATTATAAAATTTGATTATATTTGTAAAAATCAATTGTTAATTCAGGAGAAAAAACAATCATTTTTTTTAGAAATGATTTATATAGCAACACGTTAGAAAAAAATTTGAATATTATAGTCTAATAGTAGCACACACAAACAGAGTAATAAAATTATTAAATTACAAAGTAAAATGATTTAATTTTGTAGTTGAAACCTATCATATCAAACTTCATTCGTTAATAAATATTTTGAAAACATTAGAAATTAATGATTTTAATTGTCTTTATGGAGACGATGTAATAACTAACTGTTTAATTGATAAATTAGAATTTTTTTTTCAATTTTTGAGAGTAATATCTTCATTATATTTGACTTGTAATAATTTGACATTTTCGTTGAAAAAAGTAGGTCAAGTTAGAGCAGAGAAAATAAATGATAGTCACAAAAAAATATCTTCTCAGCTTTGCATCGAAGCGAAAACTTAAAATATAGTAAAATAATTTTAATACGAATAAGAAATTTCTTCTTGCAAGGGGCGACTAAAGTGATGGGATCCTTGATCTTTATTGAAGTTATTGAATCTAAATGTGATAAAAATCAAACGAGTTAAAATTTATACTAACTTAAAAAGAATTAAGAAAAAATGCAAAAAATTCATTGCCATATGCGGGTTGGAACCTCGTACCCCAAGCGTGTAAAACATAAATTCTACCAACTCGGCAACCGTACGTCGCTACCGCGGGTGAAAAAATAGGCTATTTAAGCTAGTTCAAATTTCAAAAGTTATTTTTCTCGACTTAAAAGAAGCAAACAAATTTAAATAAGTTTAACTTTCTATGCTATATTAATTTTTTATTTATATAATATTTATGAAAATCTATACTCCCCTTGTCAGGTATTTTAAAATAAAATAAAATACAAAACCCAGAATTTTAACACAAAAATAGCAAATTTTTGAATACGGTAATCATTTTTACAATGAAGACAAGTCTAGAGGTCAATCTTTTTTTTTCAAATTCAATTATATTACATTAGCTTTAATTTAAGATATATATAAAAGTGTCAGTATTTCCGGAATACTTTCAAAAATTAAATTGAAAATATCGTAGTAACAATACGCATGTTTAAAGTTTTGACCCCCCTTGTTAAAGGGGTATGATCCGATTTACAAAAAAAGCGTGCCAGATGAAAGGGGTATATAAATATTTATTATAAAAAAATAATAATATTGATCCATACATTTTTCCAAAAGTTATATAAAATATAAATTAAATAATATAACATATAAAATCGAGATTTTTTTCACGGAAATCGTACGTTTTTCTTTAACTTTGATGTCCGTTTTCACCACGAAGACAAGTCCAGAGGTCAAATTTTTTTTTTTCAAATTAAAGTATATTACATAAGCTTTAATTTAAGATATATATAAAAGTGTCAGTCTTTCCGGAACATTTTCAAAAGTTAAGTTGAAAAAGTTCTACTTTCTATACGCATTTTAAAAGGTTTGCACCCCCCCTGTATAAAGGGAAATGGTCCGATTTTAAAAAAAAGTATGTCGAATGAAAGAGGTATATAAAAAGTATTTATTATTAAAAATTAGAATTGATTCATGCATTTTTTAAAAAGTTATAGCATCATAATGTTAAAAAATGTAAAATANAAATAAAAGAGGTATATATAAAGTATTTATTATTAAAAATTAGAATTGATTCATGCATTTTTTAAAAAGTTATAGCATCATAATATTAAAAAATGTAAAATATAATATCAAGAATTTTTTCAAAAAAATAGCATATTTTTGCATACGGTAGTCATTTTCACCATGAAGACAAGTCCAGAGGTCAAATTTTTTTTTTTCAAATTAAAGTATTTTACATTAGCTTTAATTTAACATATATATAAAAGTGTCAGTCTTTCCGGAACATTTTCAAAAGTTAAGTTGAAAAAGTTAAACTTTCTATACGCATTTTAAAAGGTTTGCACCCCCCCTGTATAAAGGGAAATGGTCCGATTTTAAAAAAAAGTATGTCGAATGAAAGAAGTATATATAAAGTATTTATCATTAAAGAATAAAGTTGATTCATGCATTTTTTAAAAAGTTATAGCAACATAATGTTAAAAAATGTAAAATATAATATCAAGAATTTTTTCACAAAAATAGCATATTTTTGCATACGGTAGTCATTTTCACCATGAAGACAAGTCCAGAGGTCAAATTTTTTTTTTTCAAATTAAAGTATATTACATTAGCTTTAATTTAAGGTATATATAAAAGTGTCAGTCTTTCCGGAACATTTTCAAAAGTTAAGTTGAAAAAGTTAATTTTTTGTAAAAAAGTTACCATTTTGAAACCCCATCCTGTGGGCTGTTAATGGGTCAAATATTCACAGAAATATATAAAATGATAGGTAAATATTTAAGGTATCTATAAAAAAAAAAATTATATTGATTCGATCATTTTTAAAAAAGTTATGGCAATTTTAAGTAAAAAAAATTGAAAAAATATCGAAAATTAGCGATTTTTAAATTTGTAATTTTTTGGGGGATTTCCCCCGTTTACGGGGAACGAGGGAATTTTTTTCAATTTTTGAGGGTAATGTCTTCGACTAGATACGATTTGTGATCTTTTGACATATTGTTCATCAAAATCGGTCCAGCGAGAGCTGAGATTGAGCGTTCACAGACACAAAAAAAAAAATAAAAAAATAAAAAAACACATCATAGTAAAATTAATACCTTCTCAGCTTCGCATCGAAGCTAAAAAAAAGCGCGACAATATACAAACGAGAGACTAAAATTATTTTATTAAAAAATAATGAAAGAGTAAATATAAATTTTGTTTATAACACTACTAATATCACTGTCATCGGCGTAAATAGTTTTGAAGAAAATTATAAAAAAACTCGAATCGTAGCTGGAAAAATTTCGGATTAAGTCAATTTTTTTAAATATTCTTATTTTTACTCACTTTTATCCCAACTACTTGGGTTCGTTACATATCCTAAATTTCCAGTTGACACGATCTCACCATCATCTACGCACACATCAACTATCCTTTTATCGCATTTCATCCACTCACATTTAATTCTTTATATTGCATTAAAACATTGTAAAAGATCATAGCATTTTTTTTTAAATAATTATGGCCTCACTGTATGAAATTGAATATAAATTGAGATTTAATAAGAAAATACAATTTTATATATTTTTCAATAGTATACTTTATGATATACTTTTATATCTAGTGTAAAATGATATAAGATTGAGGAAATTATACATTTGCTTAAACCTTTAGTATATTATTAAGTACATTTAAAAAATTGATCATATATCTCAAAGAAGAATAAATAAAAATTGTATTTAATTAATTTTAATATTCATGTAAGTGATTGTATTGAAAATTTAATGGCGTCACAAAATTTTAATTTTAGTAATAACCTTAAATTTATTTAAATTATATTATTGTAAATAGTACAATATTAAAAATAAAATTTTAAGTTAATAATATTTTTTACATAAAATTATATCTTCATCAAATAATTCTAGTAGTCTTACGCAATCTATATACACGGAAACGGTCAAAATAGTTAATAAGTTAAATAGTTAAAAAGGTACAAAAATTAATTACTCTACCAATTATATCATACTGAAATATATAAAGTATACCTCCAAAAAAATGATCTAATGAATCTGGAATGAATGTTTCACCAGTTTCTAAATTAAATTCGAAGCCTAGTTTGGTAAAAAATTTGTAATCATAATCTCTATTTCACTTAATATAGTTTCACTGTCAAAATTATACAATTCTATATTTTCTCCGTTAAATTTTACATTGTTATATATTACGTACAATTTGTTCGTTAACACAATCACATTACCACACTCCAATGTACAATACAATTCAATGTTAAAATCTATTTTTACTTCAATGTGTTTCATTATCTTTTCTATTTTATGTAGTATAGTTTTATTGTATGTCAAATATTGGCGTAAAGGAAAAAAATCATTTAATTTGCCTTGTAAATTTTGAAACTCGTCAAATACTAATTTTAAAATTATACTGTACTTTACACCATTGATCCATGGATACGTATGCAGTTTATCTATAGTATACAGGGCTCCTTGTATTTTTTTTGTAAATAAAATTATGTTGGAAATAATTTCTAATAGTTTTACAGTGCAATTGTAGCCATGTAATTTATAAATTTCATTATTCATTATTTGTTCACAGAATATTCGTTGACAGTTGACAGCAGTTACAATGTCCAATAAAATATTCGCGTATGTGCAACCAAGGAATACAGTCATGGCTCGTATTTTTGAATTACATGTTTTTGGTGTTATTGGCTCTTCAATGATACTGGAAAGATCTTTACTTCGATTTAAGTAAGTTACATTTTTGATATATTTTAAATTTTTCCATCCAACACATTTAAAAAGATTATTCATAATACGAGTATTTTCTACTGTATTTGTTGTTGATTCAGTACATAAAACGACACAAAATAATAACAAACACTTTGAAACAACCATCATAGATGTCATTCTTTTGGAATTAGATAATTAGTGTTAATGATATAATGATAATACTTATATTGGTAAATTTTTTATAAGTTGTTCTATAAAGTCTGATTCCTAATATATTTTTTACTTATAAAAGAAACACCAAGTGGTAATTGAAAAAAAAATGTTTAGTATTTGAAATATCCTTTTTATAATTTTATAAATACCTATTTATAACAAAGTAAAATATGAAGTATAAATTAATTCACATGATTATAAAAACATATCCTATAACATTATAGCTTAGTATTTTGATTTTTTTTTATGACCCTAAAATATAAAATGCAAATGTGTTCAAAATAATCTTATCATATAATAAAACATTTAAACATTATCCAATGCTGAAAAAACTACTTAACGATGTACGATTTTCAAATTTTTTTTTAATAAAATAGCTCGACCACGTTATTTCAGGAAAAATAATCGCAAAGATGAGAAAATTATTTTTAGCACACCGTCATCGTTTAAAAATTTTATAAAAAAGCTCATTGCCGCCATCGCTCCATAAAGGTGAGAAAAAAAATTTAGAATATTTAAGTTTAAATAATTTCAACAAAAGATGTGTTACGGAAAATGGTAAATTCTACTGAACTATACAGCTGATTTTGAAGACACATATTTTAGTTAATTAAAAAGTAATTTACCTTTTTAAAGAAAATCATAAACTACTGGATTCGTAGCTGGAGATGATTTTGATTCATTGTTTGCTTCTAAAGATATGTACATAGAAAATGATTTCAGTATTTAAATATTTTTGTTCTTTATTTACTGTTTTTAATTAAGAAAAACATAAATTTAAATTAAAAAATGTAATCTCATTGGTATTTGAAGTTCTTTTAATAATAATGTTCGTTGTAATTTTGTTGTTATAAACAAAGATCAATCTTACAACTGATATCACTGTCATTTTCGTGAATAGTCTTACTATTGATGTATTGCTACTTGAATGTAATGAGTTCTAATTATTATTAAAACTTCTAATAATCTAAATTAACAGTAAACATCCTTATCTCTGTTATACTTATTCTTTGTTCTATTTTTGTCAACCGCCCAACACTCTGAACCATGATTTATAGCTGGTCTCGCTACAGTCTTCTAAAATTTATTATTCCGTCTCATTAAAATTTTTATATCGCATAAAACAACAGACGCTTCTCTGCATTTCACCCTTCCACACTTTATCCTGTGTTTAAATAATCACCACCGTTCTTTTGCATAACTGATACTAATTACTTAAAACTTTCCACCTCACCTATCACGTTCTCGCTTATTGTGACAGACCTCCTCATTTTACTTACCATGTTCTTCTCTCATACTTTTTTTGCACTAATAAAATCTACCAATCATTCGTTCAATGAAATATCCTTTATTGTCTCTCTTGGATACTTCTCATTCAAAAATTTTCCTAAATAATTTTTCCACCTTGTTTCACATAATCATTACTCGTTAGTACTTTTATATCATCGCATTATATACACTATTCATTTTGATTATTTTTATACCATTTTCCTGTTACTTTTGCAAGTGTATAGACTTCTTTTTCACCTCCCTTTGTTCCTAGCTTATCACACAATTCATCATACCTTTTAAATTTAAATTTTGTACACAATCGTTTATACTGCATCCAATCATCTCATCCTTTGATCATAATCTATACTTTGAACTGTTTTTACATACTATCTATGATTTCTTGAATATCCTCATCCCACCACCATGTATTCTTGTTTCTAAACATTCTACTCCTATGATCTGACCAACTATCTCTTTTGCAGTATTCTTTACACAACTAACAAATCTATTCCACACATTATTTATATCATCCTCATTATTTCACACCATCCTCTCATTTATTGACTTTAAAAACCCTTTTTTATTTTCCTCTTTCAATTTCTACCACCAAATCCTAAATTTTACCCTTCTGTGTTCTTTTTGTCTTTGTATACTCTCTTCCCACTACACTATAACTCCATTAGAATATGTCAATGTTGTGCAGTTACACTCTCTCAAGGATTCCTTCTATGGCCTCATTGTTTTTACTGAAACTATAGCATCCATATATTATTTACTACTCGCGTTACACTCTCTCTTCCAAATAAAATAGTCAATCTGTATCTATTACTCCCACTCTTTTAAGTTGTATGATGTTCTTCCCTCTTTCTGAAATAAGTATTAACCACGGAAAGATCAGACGATACTGCAAAATCCTTTATTATTTTTCTAGCTTCATTATTCCCACTGAAACCACAACCTTCTTGTATTCTTTCACATCTTCTTCTCTCATTACCTACATATCCATTCATATCTCAACCTATCCAACCATAACCCGACCAGGTATTTTTTGCATCACCTAATCCATCTCTCTCCTAAACACTTCCTAGTCTAATTCATCACATTAAACTTGTGGTGCATAGGCACTTACTGCAATCAACAATTTTTCTTCGAATATTAATTTTACGACTATAATTCTGTCATTTTTTCTAACTATTTCTACTACTTTTCTTAAATTTATTATTCATTATATTTCCAATACCATTCTTTGTTTTTGTCTTACTTGAATATATATGTAACTCTCATCTATTTCCCTTGCATTCTCTCCCATTCGACTTAATTTCCTGCATACAACAAATATTAACTTTTCTCCTCATCAATATTAATTGTCTAATTCTAGTAGTTAATGTTCTGTCATTCCACGTACTAATTCTTACCATATATCTATCATTCATCCTTATACACGAGTCCAGTCTAGAGTTCAAGATTGATGTCCCTACACCGTTGAAATTACAAGGGTTGGGTAGTCTTGTACACATGACTGGTGAAGCAGCTACCACACAAGTTTTCCGACTGGTATGAAACACTTTGTTCCTTAGACATTCTCCGTTTTTAACTACTTTACTTCCTCTCACCTGTTGCCCCCGCGTTCATCGAGGTGGGACAATCCGCCTAAGTTTTGTTCAGGACTTCTCATACTTTTTGACAAAAATTTAACGCCGGCTATCGATCTGATGCAACCTCGTTAGTCACCTCTTATGACTGACAGAGGGGCTGTGGAAGTATTATTATCCCCATTCCACAAGGGGAAAAAACTTAAATTTCATTAATTTTAATATTAATGGGATTGACGGTGCTAAAAATTTAGTGGCTTTATACATTTTTAATTTTACTAATAGCTTTAAATTAATTATATTATTGGAAATATTGCAATATTAAAAATAAAATTTTGAGTGATTTAAATTTTTAAAATAAATTCATGTCCTCATAAAAGAAATCTTGTACTGTTTACCAATCCATACACACTAAAACTGTCAAAATGATTAATTATTTAAATAGTAATAAAGTAAATTATGTTATCAGTTTATTCTAAAATCCAAAACCTTTATTTTATAACAAAAATAAATTATTTCATTAATGATATCACATTAAAACATAAAAATAAACTTGCAATAAGATGAACTAAAGAATGTGGGATGAATTGTGTACGATTACAGTATTTTTATTCAAATAATTTTTGCCTCGCTGTACAAAATAACGTGAAATTGTGTATATATTGATATTTAATAAAGGAGCATAATTTGTATTTATTTTTTAAAACTTTTATATCTAGTGTAGAATGAAATAGGATAGGGAATATCATACATATATTTAAATTTTTAGTATATTATTAGGTATAATCAAATAAATAAGTAATTATTTCCCTCAAACGAGACTAAATCAAAAATGTACATGTGAATAAATATTGAAAACAAATTTATTCATAGAAAATTTTTAATAAATCTACTTTAATTCCACTGATTATTGATAAATTCATTTATAGGAGTAATTTTATGATTAAAAATTATTTTAATATATCACTTATGACTTACTCATATTAAGGCAAGATTAAGGAAAGAGACTTAAATTTAATTAATTTTAATATTATTGTTTGTGATTATTTAGTAATATAATTATATTTATATATAAACAGTCAAAATAGTTTATTCTAAAATCCAAAACCTTTATTTTATAGCAACAATAAATGATTTCATTAACTATATCATATTAAAATATAAAAAAATACCTGTAAAAAGATGAATCAATGAATTTGGAATGAAAGTTTCTCGGTTGTATAAATCAAATTTAAATCCAAGTTTGGTAAAATTTTCTAAAATAAACATCTCGATTCCATTTAATATAATTTCACTGTCGCTATAATAAATTGCTATATTTTCTCCGTTCAAGTCTGTATTTTTATATAGGGTGTTCAAATTATTTGTTAACACAAATATATTATCACTTTCTAATGTACGAAATTGTCGGGTATTACACAGTATTTTCATTTTAATATTTTCCATTTCAAACAATATAGTACATAATATAGATTTATTATATACCAAATCATCATGCGAAGGACTCCATTTATCTATTTGGCTTTGTAATTTTTGGAAATCTTCAGATATAAAGTTCAAAATTATATAAGACTTATCGCTCAATTTCCATGGGTATCTATGCAAACTGTCTATTGCATACAGTGCTCCTTGTATTTTTTTTGTAAATAAAGTAAAATTTGTCATAATTTCTAATAATTTTAAAGTGCAATTATAGCCTTGTGTTNTTTATTATTTCTAATAATTTTACAGTGCAATTATAGCCTTGTGTTTTATTAAATTCATTGCTCATTATTTCGTCACAGAATATTCGTTGATAGTTGACAGCACTCATTATGTCCATTAAAATACTTATGTAAATGCAACCTAGAAAAACAGTTGCGATTCATATTTTTTTATTACAATCACATGGTGTTATTGGCTGTTGAATTATACTCGGAAGAACATAGTTTTTCCATAAATAAGTTACATTTTTGACACGTTTTAAATTTTTCCAACCAATACATTTAAAAAGATTATTCACAATACGAGTATTTTTTATTTAATTATTTTCCAATTCGATACATAAGATGATATAAAATAATAAAAAGCACTTTAAAACTATTTTTAAAGATGTCATTTTTTAAAAATTTTAATACTATTAAATGATGATAATAATTATTATGGTTATTTCTACATAAAATTCAATACAATTCTGATTTCTGAGTATAGTTTTTACACATAAGAGCAACAATAAATAGTATATGAAAATAATGATTTTTAATTAAAAAAATTGTATCGATAAGATTAATATGTAGTTAGAAAAATTTATAATTACTATTTATAGTAAATTTATCAAAGTAGAATAATATTTTGTTACATTTTTACCGTAATAGATAACTTAAATTGAAGTAATATTAATAATTTCCTAGTAACTTTTGGTGTTTGAAAAAATTTTGCAATTGAAATATATAGAAGTTAATTAATTTTAATGATTTACTTTAACTAAATGAATCAATCAAAACAAAGTTGTTTAAAAGATTTACTCAATTGAGCGTGTAATAAAATTTGATTATAATTGTAAAAAACATGGTTAATTCAGTAGAAACTAACAATCATTTTTTTTAGAAATGATTTATATAGCAACATGTTACCAACAAATTTGGAATA